AGTAGACAGTACTTATGAGAAGTTGGTAGCAGTGTCAGCAAATGAAACTCTCCAGCAAGATGATTATGGCATCTTGGGGAGATTATTCTGGAAATTGGGGTGGAGAGAAGGTAAAGATATTTCAGCATGGAAATCTCAAGGCCAGCAGTAGAGGGTCACACTGACGTGGCCTTATGTCTACCCCTTGCCACAGTGCATGGCAATTGTGAGGGTTCATTGAGGTGACTTGCTCAGGTACAGGTCATCCCCAGGAGGATAGGAGAGTGGACTGAATGCTGAGAATGCCCACCATACAGTAGGCTGGTGACAACACCCACCCTCAAGAAGGTTGTTTGGATTCTAAGGCTAGAATCACTTTTCCCTACTCTTACAGCACACTTTCTCATGTGGAAATCCAGGAATCAGCAGGCCTGGGGGTGCAAAGCTCAGGGAGGCCAAAGGCAAACTCAGTGGCTTTGGGATGGTGATGTGTAACCAAGTGTACAGAGTGAATGGAATTAACAAGTAACCAGGTTACCAGAGGCCCTGGCTGCCACAGTGCCTGGCAGGACCCTGGACAATGTTACCTGAGGGCAGGGTCTAAGCACCAGTCCCTCAGCACAGTAGAATTATCCTAGTGCTGCAGGACTTGCAGCTGGGGACAGCGTGCCTTTGGGTTAGCTCTGAGCTGGTGGGGAGCCAAAGGGACCCTTGTAGTTGCGAGGCTGCTGAATTGGCCTAGGCCAGTGGCTTCTGGCCCAGTTCCCTGCTTCGTTACCTCATGGTTACTGAGCCCCACCCAGCATATCAAATGCCTCATGGCACAGTGATGCTGCCAGATGTGGAGATCCAGCTACCCAGGAAGACTCCCTTTTTTGGCTGGAAACTTCCAAGATGTGTTGGGAGCCTTGCAATGACTCTCTGTTCCCTCTTCCCCCTCACATCACCTCCTATTGTTGTAGATGGAGATGGATTCCAGGTGCTCGGTGGTTGCAAGCAAAGAATATTGTAAAGCAAAGCAACTGGGACATTTATTGTTGGCCAAGGTGGAGGCATAACTAGACATGCTTTGCTTCCTTGCATGACCAAGAAAAGGACAACAACCAATATAAAAACAAAAAACAACAAAAACTGCCAGAAAATTGAACTGTATGGAAGTCCAACAACTAAGGAGTTAAAGAAGAAATATTCCTCCAGACCAGTAGAGGGGTGGAGATGGGAAGCTGGGGTGGAGAGGACCCACAGCAAAGCAACAGATTGGGTGAAGCAGCAGCCAGCAGACCTGCCAATTCCACATTTGTGTGCAGATAAGTCAAGAGGAACAACTGGGGAGCAAGACAGACAACACAACCCAGGGTTCCAGTGGGGGAAACTAAAACCTCAAAACTTCTGGCTGTAAAAATCTGTGGGGGTTGTGGCAGTGGGTGAAACTCCCAGCCTCACAGGAGAGTTCGTTGGAGAGACCCACAGGGTCCTAGAATGTACACAAACCCTCACACCTGGGAACCAGCACCAGAAGGGCCCAATTCGCTTGTGGGTAGTGGGGGAAGTGACTGAAAGTGGGGCAAGAGCCTAACAAGCAGTATTGTTCCCCCTCTGACCCCTCCCACACACACAGTGCCACAACACAGTGAAGTGGGTTGTTGCCCAACCCTGGTGAATACCTAAGGCTTTGCCCCTTACCACATACCAGGTGAGCCAAGACAAAGAAATATGGTCCAAATGAAAGAATGGATCAAAACTCCAAAAAGAGAACTAAGTCATGAGGAGATAGACAACCTATCAGATGCAGAGTTCAAAACACTAGTATTCAGGATGCTCACAGAAATGACTGATTACCAATGCAAAATAAAGGAAGAAGTGAAGGCTGTACAAAGTGAAATAAAGGAAAATGTACAGGGAACCAGCAGTGAAAGGAAGGAAACTGGGACTTAAATCAACAGTTTGGAACAAAAGGAAGAAATAAACATTTAGCTGGAAGAGAATGAAGAAACAAGAATTCAAAAAAAAAAAAGTGAGGAGAGGCTTAGGAACTTCTGGAACAACCTGAAACGCTCCAATATCTGAATTACAGGGGTGCCAGAAGGAGAAGAGCAACAGCAAGAAATTGAAAACTTACTTGCAAAAATAATGAAGAAAAACTTCCCCCATCTGGCAAAGGAAATAGACTTCCAGGAAGTCCAGGAAGCTCAGAGAGTCCCAAAGAAGTTAGACCCAAAGAGGAACACACCAAGACATATCATGATTAAATTACCCAAGATAAAAGATAAGGAGAGATTTTTTAAGTAAAGATTTTATTCATTTTTAGAGAGAAGGGAAGGGAGGAAGAGAAACATTAGTGTGTGGTTGCCTCTGGCCCACTGCCTACTGGGGACCTGGCCTACAACCCAGGCATGTGCCCTACCTGGGTATCGAACTAGCGACCCTTTGGTTCATAGGCCAGCACTCAATCCACTGAACCACACCAGACAGGGAGGAGAGAATCTTAAAAGCAGCAAGAGAAAAGGAGACAGCAACCTATAAAGGAGTTCCCATACGAGTATCAACTGATTTCTCAAAAGAAACCTTACATGCAAGAAGGGGCTGGGAAGAAGTATGCAATAATAAAAGGCAAGGACCTACATCCAATATTACTCTATCCAGCAAAGCTTTCATTTAGAATGGAAGGGTGGATAATGTCAAGTTAAAGGAGTTCATCATCACCAAGCTCTTATTATATGAATGTTAAAGAGACTTATCTAAGAGAAAGAAGAACATCCAAACTATGAACAGTAAAATGACAACAAACACAACTATCAACAACTGAACCTAAAAACAAAGACAAAAACGAAAACAAAACCAAACTAAGCAAACAACTAACATAGGAACAAGATCACAGAAATGGAGATTACATGGAGGGTTATCAGCAGGGAAGGGGTGGAAGGAGAATGGGGGAAAAGGTACAGGGAATAAGAAGCATAATTGATAGGTACAAAGTAGACAGGGGGAGATTGAGAATAGTATAGGAAATGGAGAAGCCAAAGAACTTGTATGTACAATTTATGGGCATGAACTAAGGGGGTGGGGAATGTGCATGGGAGGGGAGTGCAGAGTGAAGGAGGATAAAGGGGAGAAAAACATGGGACAACTTTCATAGCATAAACAATAAAATATACTAAAAAATAACAAAAAGTGGAATATTTATTAAGGAAAGTACACTTCCCAAGACACTGGCCATCTCTGGCCAGGGAATGGCCCTCTTCTATTGAAGGACTATTGACTTACAGGGTTTTTACTTAAGCTTCTACACATGCAGTTTCCCACAATCCTTCTTGATTGCCCACCCAGGGAGGAAACCACAGTGCTAATTATTATGAGGTGTCACATGGCCATTCTCAGAAACCAGAATGCTTACTGAGGACAGCTGCAGTGTCTCAGAATTTCCTGTTCTATCTTCTGCCTCACTACTCTTCCCGGGACTTGGTAGTTTTGGGTCCTTCTTCCCTGTGAGGGTCCTGAGCCCCCTCGCCAGTAGGGCCAGAGACTTTATCACTTTGCCCTTGTCCAGGGCTGGGTGCTGGGAATGAGCTGGACAGGAGGCAAGGAATGGATGTGGGACAAAAGTGGGGACCATGCGTGTGTCTGTGCCGGACAGCAGGACTGCAGAATCTCTGCCACGTGTCCCTTTGGAAGCAGAGCTGAGTCCTCTTCCATCAAGTCTCAGCCAGCCCACATAAAGCTCTGGCCAACTGAACAAGGCAGAAGTGACCTCTGTCACCTTTCAGGCGGGGTCCTGACTTGGATGTAGCTCCCGCCTGAGCTCCTGGGATGGCTCCTCTTCAGGCCAATGCCACACTCGGAGAAGCCCTCGCTGCACAGAGAAGCCCGGTGAAGCAGGGGCATGTGTGCATGTGCCGGTTTCCGCAGAGCCCCGGCCAACGGGAGGCACCCCTGCTGGCCACCGCAGGCCCCTGGGTGAGACTTCGGATGCCCTCCCACACACACTCCACCAAGTGGGAGCAGCGGGGTCCACATAACAGACACCCCCCAGGCTCAGGCCCTGGGAGCAAAGGAAAGTTTTTCAGTTACCCTTTCAGAAGAGGAAGCCTACCCAGCTGAGAACCAGGCAGAGATGACAAAGACATGGAAGAGGACACTGCACCGGAGGATGACATAGTGAATACTGGCAACGACCTTGTAACCAGAGCGTTGTAGCTTTTAATCTGGATCCCTCCATTTTTGTGTCATACACTAGTGATAGTTCCAATGGTAATAAAACTTCTTCCCTTTTTCCTTCGTCGGTGGTAAAGTTACTATGAGTGCACAGGCTGTGGAATACCCCAGTTGGAGCTTGGCAGGACAGGGAACAGACATTGCCCAGGTAACCCAGATGCCCAAGCCAGGGGAGCGCTTTGGAACTCCGTGTGAATGAGGGAGGTTGTGCGTGAATGTGGGGAAGGGCGTGAGTGCGAGGCAGCCCTGGAGAGGGCTGGAAAGAGCACCTTCTGCTTGTTTTTTGTCCTGACTCACTCCCTCCATGCAGCTCTGGGGGCTGTGCCAGGGGATCTTCTGGCCACCCCCTCACTGCAGGGGTTGGGGGTGGGAACCAGCCGAGCATATGGGAGAGACTGGAGCCCAGCCCTCCCAGGGCAAGGTTCTTGAGGCAGCCCCACTGCGTGGAACCTGGGATCTGCTGCCTGGCTCTCTGAGCCTCCATTTCTTCATCTGTGAAATGGGAGACATCTGGGCACGATCCTGCTGAGGTGTAAAACTCCCAGTGTCCCAGCCCACCCCCAGGCCCTGCCCCTCTGCACAGCTCCCATCCTGCTCCTCCTGGGGCTGTGCTGCTGACCCTTGGGGAGAGCAGGCACAAGGCATCCACAAACATCAGCCTGGGTGACTTCCATGTGTCCAGGGATCTGTCCTGTCTCCCCCGTGGCTGGAGCCAGCAGGCTGCCCAGGGAGGCAAGGTAGATCCTACAGGTCTCCGAGGCAGACCCTCCACTCCTGCCCCCCACACTTACTCATTAGCCAGGGCACAGGGTAACTCGGGCTGCGGCCGGCCAAGGCTGCCTGTGGGGGTGCTCAGGCATGCAGGTGGGCAGCAAGCAGAAGGCTTGGAATGGACAGTCTCCAGGACACAGTTCCCCCAGACCAAGGGGGCCGTGGCCCTGCCCTCTGCAGGCTGGTCTCCGTGGGCTTTAGGGCTGAGGCATGGAAGCTCTTTGTCCTGTCCGGACCCCTGGTAAGGAGGTGGAGGTGAGGGGTTGTGAGGCTTGGTGCCAGGGGCTGTCCAGGCACCATTTGGGGTGTGTCGGGGTGGCTCATAGCCCTGCCCCAGGAACTTCCCACATTGACTGTGTTCAGACTGCACCTGGGGCTGCTGCCCAGAGCAGGTGACAGCAGGACAACTGTCCCTGGACAGTGCCGGGGGGTGGGAGCCTGTGGGACCTGGCCAAGCTCAGCAGGGACTGGTGTATCCTCCTTCAGAATCCCACAGGAAGGCGGGGTTGAAACATCTCACGATGACAGGTGATGTGGGATCCATTGATATGGGAGCCTACAGATCTCCCCAAAGAGTCATTTGCAGGGAAGAATGGGCCCTCTGTCCTTTTTATTGCCAAAGAAAAATGGCTTTAGGTATATTTTGTTCTGACCAGAAAAGTTAATAGATATGTACTCCCTGTAAAAGTTTCAGACAAAAACAAAAATTGTAAAGAAGAAGGAAATCCAATCTCACCACCTGGGCATATCCATTGCTAAGCTTTTGATGGATTTTATCCCTCCTCTTCTCTATTTGTGTGTGGCCTGGCTGAACAGTTACAGTAATGACATTGCTGCAGGACTGGATGCCTGCGTTGGGCTCGGGATCCCAGGCTCTGAGCAGGTGTCCCTGTGCATTCCTGCATCGTCAGGCAGGGGAACAGCCGCCTGGAGTTAACAGGCTGCTGCCAGTGCAGGAGGAGCAGCACTCGGGTCACTCTCTCCCAGTCCTGGTTGCTGTGTCAGTCTCAGCCACATTCTTGGGCAACATGCCTGATGCAGATCAACAGTGTGAATGCCGGGCAGCAGGCTGAGGTGCAGTGGAGAAGTGCCCCTGACCCAGGCTGCCCCCTCCAGGTTCTGTTTCAGGTGCTGTCCTTCATGATCTATGTCGTGAGCTCGGCGTTCTGCAGGAATCTGGGCAAAGTGGAGCTGGCATCGGTGACCCTGGCAGTGGCCGTGAGTACAGCCAGGACTGTGTAGGACTGTCCCTCCCGGGCTCCTCCCCCAGGGTTCCAGGGAGAAAATACTGCCTGAGGGCTGACAGCTGCATTCACAGCTGGGACCTGAGGCCGTCACAAGGTGGGACACAACACACGCGGGCAGGACCCCAGCAGAAGGGGGTGTCTGGCTCAGATGCACATCACAGCTGTTGCTCAGTGAACTTGCCCCACATGCAGGGTCCCCTCCTTGGGCTCTGCCTGACAACCCCTGTGTTCTCTTCTATGTGGCTTCAGTTTGTCAATGTTTGCGGAGTTTCCATAGGATTCGGTTTTCCCTCAGCATGTGACACCTTGAAGTCCCAGGTAGGTGAGCCTCCTAGAGCTGGGCAGGGCCAGAGCCAATCCCTCAACTGCTGCAGAAATGGTGGGGGTTGGGGACCCCCTCCCAAGCCCCTCAATGCTCCCTGAACCCGACGGGGTAGCTGTCTTCCGTCCAAGCAGCCCCTGAGGATCAGGTGCTGTCAGGAGACTGGACCCTCCCCTTTCAAAGAGTCTGGATAGACAGGCAAGAGAATCCTGGAAGGAAAGGGGCGGGGACAGTTCTCTGCCCTGCTCAAATGCTGACGGTGCATACAGGGGACCCCTTGCCCTCGGGGACCCAGAGTTCTTGGCTTACGGTGGACCTGGGAACCTGGGTCGGCCCTGGCTGCCACTTCCTAGCAGGGTGACTTGACAGTGCTCTCGGAGCCTCGTTTGCCTCCACTGTGATGTGGGGAAATAACACTTTCCTCACCAGGTGCCTTGGAGAACTGGGGACAGTGGGTGGACAGGTTGGTACTCTGTAAATAGCTGCTGCCGTAATTCTGTGAGCCGACTGAATCCCTGCAGAGGCTGCCAAACCTCTGCCTCTGAGGGCACTGCATGGTGCCTACTGCATGCAGGAGCCATCCAACGGCTCTGGCACCGCTGGCCAAGCACCCGGGGACGGAGGAGGGGCTCAGCGCGGGCTGATGTTTTGCAGAGCTTCGGCAGCCCCATCAAGCCGCAGGTGGGCGACATCCTGCAGAGGGGAGTATTCCTCCTGCTTCTCTGCTGCTTCCCCTGCTGGGCGCTCTTCCTCAACACCCAGCAGATCCTACTGCTCCTCGGGCAGGACCCAGACGTGTCCAGGTACCGCCTGGCTCCCGCTGGGAATACGGGAAAGAGCCCCAAAAGAAGCCCCTCTCCAGGCCCCGCAATCAGTCGTAAGCGCTGGAAGGTTCCGGCTTAGGTTTGGGGATTCCTCCGCGCAGTGTGGTGATCTAGCTGTGACCAGCAGGGGGCAGACGAGTGGCCAGTTTTAATTCACAGCAAAGAGCAAGACGAGGATTTGCACGGTATTTCCGTCTGTGTCCCAGCACTAGTTGGAACTTCACCGACGTTTTTGAAGAAATGACGTGGGCACCAGCCCACATTCCAGAAAGGAAAAAGAGAACCGAAACAATTTCTGATGAATTACACGGTTTTTATTACCTTTAGAAAGGTCCCTCAGAGGAGTGCCTTGCTCATTTTATATTATGTGCACTTCATCTGGTTATTTCTTGAAAAGAGAGAACCTTTTTTACCCCCTCACCACGTTTTACTCCAAATTTAAGTTCCCTAATTACAAGGCCCCTGAGGTTGGGTCCTTGCTTCCTCTTCCTGGCACCTCCCCTAGTACTTACTGAAGCTCCCGGGTCTGGGCCGAGACCTGCCCTGGGCCTGGGGAAGCCTGTCCTCGAACCCGGGTTCCTACGACGCGCCCCCCTGAGGCCCCCTGACAAGGGCACCGCCAGTCAGCTTCCGCTCCTCTTGCAGGCTGACCCAGGAGTACATGCTGATTGCTACTCCGCCCCCCGCCCCCCTCCAGCTGGGGAGGCTCCTGGCCCTGCAGCGACTTCCTCTGTGCGGTGAGGACGCTTGGAGGGGTGGGGGAGAAGTTCCCCTTCCCGCCGGTGCAGACCGGGCTTTTAAAAGGTAACAGAATGTGTTTTTCTGGTTAGAAAACCATTTATTGGAGAAACTGTAGAAAGCCTGGGGAAGAAAAATTCCAAATCACCTATAATCCTACCACCCAGAGAGAACATAGGTTCTCTTTTCAGGTTACTTCTATTCATGAGTTGTGGTTTCAAGCACACACACACACACACCCCGTTTGAAATGAGGCCAGCGTGTGTATATTGCATTATAATCTGCTTTCTCCCTTTCAAATATGTCATTAGTCTCTTGACATGATTGAATAGCTCACATAACAGCCATTTCAAAGGCTACATAGCATCCTATTGTGCCATGACTTATTAACCAATCTCTACATGTTAGGTATTCAGGTTGTTTCCAATAGTCGCTATTATAAATAATCATTCTTATAGAAAAACTTTGTGAACATTTGTGATGATTTCCTTAAGATGCATTATTGGAATTAGACTCATTCTGTCAATGGCTTTTGATACCAATTTGTACCAGTTGTACTCCCACTAGCAATGCCCTCATCAGCAGAGCATTATTAATCTTTTCCAATTAGAAGTAGTTTTAACATGTGTTTTATTGCCAATGAAGTTGAACATTTTTTCATGTATTTATCGATCATTTGTTTTTCTTCTGTGAATTGTTTATATACCCTTTGCTTATTTTAGTGGGTTAATCTTTCTCTAATTATAACAACATGTTAAATAATAGCTTAACCCTTTGTCATATATGTTGCAAACACTTTTCAGTTTGTCACTTGCCTTTTAATTTTTTGATATATTTGACTTAAAGAATTTTTAATGTATATGTAACAGTCCATAACCTAACTTATTCTTTATATCTGTCTTTGATGAGCTTAAAAACACTTAACTCATATCAATATTATCTAAAATTTGCCATATTCTCTTTGAATCTTTTTATGGTTTCCATTTTTATATCTAAGACTTTAATCCATTTAATGAACTCTTTCTAAGACTAATTATTGACTATTCCCTTCTTTCTTTTCTCCATGAGTTTATGGAGTACTAAATAAGCAGTGTGTCCACTTGGGGCAGTTCCTGAGATTTCCACCTGACCCAGTGGTCTGTACATCTACTCTGGAATCCACCACCCACTATTAGATTTGTCCAAGCTTGGTGACACGTCACTTACTCTCGGGCAGTTCTGAATCAGGCATGGTCTTGCCAGCTGGAGTTGTCTTCTGTCTCTGGAACTTCAGCATCCCTTTGTCCTCCCAGGCACCAGGGGGCGAAGTTCTGGAGGAGAGACCTGGAAAGGGAATAGGTCATGTGACTTCAGATTGCACTAAAAGGTGCCCAGGTCTGGCAGGGTGATCCCCCGCTACACCCACAATGAAATCCCAGTGGCCTGAACTCTTTGGGGACTGGCCAGCTCCATGGAAACCATGTTTTGGCTCTTCAGACAGAGATGATGGTACCTTGTCCAATGGGGCCATTGTGCCAGGGCAGGAAAACACCTATAAAGTTATCACTGTGGCAACTCCTTTATCAAATGAAGCAAGTCCTTCCCACAAAATGCAGCCACAAAGTTTAATTAACAATAAAAATACTTACATAACGCTTAAACTCAGGCAGTGTAGTTCTAGTTTCATGCTCTTAACCCCTGTGCTACACTAAAAAAGAAGCAGAGGGCTAAGGGAAGGGAGGGGACAGGATGGCTTTGACAGAGTACAGAAGGGCAGTAGCCAGACCCTAGGGTGGTCACAACCCATGGGCTTGGGCTCTGGCGTGTCCTGTGCACGGCCCCCGGGGCAGCCCTCCTAAGCTGATGGAAGGCCAGGGTTGGCAGCCAGAAACCCTGCTGGGTCCTGCCTCCTGCACAGGCCTCTGAAGTGCTCGCTCTCCGAGCCAGTGCCTCCTGCCTGCTCACCTCCCCCTGTGGCCCAGCGGGGCCCTTGGGTCCTCTCTCCCATAGGTAGGGCCAAGCGCACACCCAGGTGAAGCCTACCTGCTGGGTGTCAGACATACTTTGATGAAGTAATTGCCCCCAAACTCAGATATCTAAGAAATATCTGTTAATGTTCATCTGGTTGTTTTTAGGTAGTTGTTGTTTCTTTGTGTGTGTGTATATTTTATTTTATACAGGTAGTTTTTCTTTACAACCTGCTGGCAAAATATTTGCAAAATCAGGTACAGGGTCCTGGCTGGAGGGGTGGCCAGCACACCGCCCTGTTCCAGTGGGGAGGGGTGCCTGCGGCTGTCTCCCCTCTGCACTGTAAGATTTTTTTGCCGAGGAAGAAAGTCAAATCAGCCACAAAGGGGGCAAAAACAGGATTTTATTGGGGCTGCACTTCTGGGCGAGGTTCTCTTGTCCAGAGTAAGGGGGCCAGAGAAGTCGCGCCCAGGGTAGAGCGGGGGTATTTTTTATACATCTAGGTGGAGTAGGCTTGTCGTGTCTTAGGTGGATTGGGCGCTGTAGTCTCTGTGGCAGACTGAGAATGGCTGGCCACTTAAGCACTTGTTGCTGGGAAGATTTTGGCGGTTGCTTAGCTTGCAGTTTTCTTTGGCGCCTGCTGTGGGCATTAACCCTTTCATATCCTGTCCAACCCAACATTCCGACCTCTTTGATATGATATGGGGTGACATTTCTTTCTGGCTACTTCCTGCTGACCTGGGGGCACCAAGGGGATTGGGGCTCAGAGGTCAGCAGTTCAGTTGGGATAAGAGAATGGGGGTGAAGGAGCATTTGATTGAATGCTACCCAGGAGACTTCATGAATTCGTAAAGATTTTTAAAAACTTTAAAAAACAGGGACCAAGCATTAGTGGTATGCATATGATCAGAAGGGGGCCTATTATGGGGGCTAACCAGGTAAAAAGGAGGGACCGCCACCAGGGGGTTAAGGTCTCTGGGTTGGAATCATCTCGGTGGAGTTTGTCCCGTAGATTTTATAAGGTGTTGATGTTTTCTTCTACTAGCCCTCCCTCATTTATGTAGAAGCAGCACTGCTCCTGTAAGAAGAGACAAGTGCCCCCCTTTTCTGCTGTGAGGAGACCGAGAGCCTGCCAGTTTTGGAGTGCCACCTGGGCAATGGACATTACCTATCTTTGCAGAGAGGCCAGCGAGGTAGCTGAGGCATCAAGGGCCTGTTCCAGGTCCGCCCGAAGCTGGTCAGTAGTCCAGAGACTGTGTGGCAACCTGGCACTGCCAACCCCAGCGGCAGCCAGGGTGGTGGCAAAGGTTAGCCCTACCAGGACCAGGAGGAAGGCTGCCCTTTTTGCCCTGGGTCTGTTCAACTTGCTTATGAGTTATCCCTCACCATAATGCATGAGTTGTGGGGCAAGGGCTACCGGGAGGCAGGGGTAAGCAGATGAGGAGTCAACGGTCCCAGCTAGAGAACCATTGCACCAAAAGAAAGTACCTGGTGGGCTGGTGAGGGAAGTGGTCACTGCTTTAGTTTGGTTACAAGGCGGGAGCCTGGGAAATATGGTATTGATATAGCAAACCTGAGGCTTTTCCGTTGGCTCCTAGAACAGGGGAGCATTATTTAGTAAGAAGGGGATGGCTGGGGATGCAGTGGCATTAAGAACAGTGGGTATGGAGACAGCTGTTATAGGAGAACGATCCAATGACTGAGGATGGTATGGGATGTGAAGCTTCCAGGTGATGCCCAGTGAGGTGGAAACTTGTTGCACAACCTGGGAGACGAAGGCAGGGCTGTTGTCTGACTGGATGGAGGCAGGCGACCCGAAGCGTGGGACAATGTGCTCAATGAGGAGAGCAGCAACTGTGCCAGCTGTTTCCCGAGTGGTAGGATAGGCTTCTATCCAGCCTGAAAAGGTATCAACAAATGTTAAGAGATAATGGTATTTCTTGTGTGGAGGCATGGGAGTGAAGTCGATTTGCCAGTCCTGGCCAGGGAGATGTCCTCTCACCTGGTGAGTTGGAAACCGGGTTTTAAGGCCTCCCTGGGTTGACGTTTTAGAGCAGACCGAGCATTCAGCATGCACCTGCTTGGTGGACTGGAGAAGATTTGGGAAGGAGAAGAGGGGATCTAGGAACTTGAACAGAGACTTGGGGCCAATGTGCAGTGACTGGTGGATTTCTGAGAGGAGGGGAACAGCCTGCTGCTGAGAAATGGCAATTTTTCCATTGAGGAAGATCCAACCTCCGCTGCCAATGTGGCCACCCCGGGCATACAGGGAAGAGTATTCCTGAGGAGTATAGGAAGGAGGTACAGGGGTGGACAGGAAGAGTATGGAGGAGGGAGAAGCTCCAGTGGTCAGTTTTCGTGCTGCGGCATCAGCCCAGGCATTGCCCTGGGAGACGGGTCTCATGAGGTTTGATGCCCCTTGCAGTGAACAACAGTTACTTCTGCAGGTAATTGTAAAGCTTGGAGGAGTTCAGAGATTAGAGATGCATTAATGCTGGGAGAACCTTTAGATGTGAGAAATCCATGTTCCTTTCAGAGAGTAGAGTGACTGTGAACAATGAGAAAGGTGTATTTGGAGTCTGTGTAGATGGTTATTCACTTTTTTTTTGCCAGAGAGAGAGCTCGGGTGAGAGCGATGAGTTCTGCTTTTTGTGAGGTGGTGCCCTCAGGCAGCAGTTGTGCTTGTAGGGTGGAAGCAAGGGTGACCACTGTGTAGGCCGCCCCCAGCCTTCCATCAGCCCCCACCACAGAACTGCCATTGATGAACACAGTGAGGTCAGCATTGGGGAGTGGAATGTCAGACACCCTGTCCAGGGGCTGCCCGAGAAAGTTAAGAACTTTGGGACAAGAGTGAATGGGTTCAGGATCGATGGTAGGCACTGGTAAGAGGGTGACCGGGTTGAGCTGAGGGGAGAGGCAAAGGGATAAAGTGGTACTCTCTATAAACAGAAGGTGCAGCTCTTGGAGGTGTGAAGGGCTCAGTAGTGAGAGGGCCCAGTGTGAGAGCAGATCAGTAAAGCAGTGGGGCAAGAAAACGACCACCAGCTGGCAGAGAGCTTGAGGGCCTCTTTACCTAACTTTACGGCACTGCCCAGGGCACGGAGACATGGCTGCCACCC